CCCCTTTTATTATCTTTGTTTTGTCACATTCTTGCTCTTGGAGGTTTCCTGACAGGAATTTGAACAAGAGAAAAGCTGGTTTTGCGCTGTACTTTGTAATGCAAATTAGGATGTCAGGATGCTGATGTATCTGTGATTGCACAGCTGCTGATGTGCCTATCAATCCTTGCGTTTTGTTGTCTAGCAGCTGACTACTTCTTTTTTCGTTGTTCTGTAAATCTTCTATATTTCAAAAATTCAGTAACCTGTGCGCATTCTCTTCTTCCAAAATTTTCTGCTACTAATAATATATTCTAGATTCAAATTGCTCCAGTTAAGCAGAAACCCGTAACGACAGTGTTTGTTGGGAATATATCCGAAAAATGCAGTAATGAATTCATGCAGCAGATGCTACAAGTAAGGAGCGTGCGAGTACGTGAAAGCAAGCACTAAGATTTTGATTTTTTCAGGAATGTGGAACGGTCACAACATGGAAACGAATACAAGGCTCTAACGGCAAATTTCAAGCATTTGGATTTTGCGATTTTGAAGAGCCAGAAGGAACTTTGAGAGCCCTGCGGGTACTAAATGACTTCCAGATAGGCGAGAAAAAGCTGGTTGTTAAGGTAAGGCGCTTTTTTTCAGACAAAGAACTGTCAAACCCGGCGGAAGGTGTGGTGAAAAGTGGTTCCACAACTATCCAACAATTAGAGTGGTTTTGAGCTTATTCATGTGCACTTGGTTAATTTTTATTTAGGCAGCACTTAGGTACAAATTTTCGCGTTAAGGTGCTTAGGTTGGTGCAGGGTACTTTTATCTTAACTATGCATCGAATTTCTGAATGGACGAGCTCATCGCGAGTGCGCTAGCATTGCTAGTGATATGCTCCTCGAATCCCATATTTCTTCATAAATGTAACGTACCCAGAAACTACTTGCATGAATATCACTTTTTTGCTTGAGAAATGGTCCTGGCTTTGATTAAAGTGTCATATGTGCCAGCTTGTTCATGCTGGAAAATCTCCATGGGAGCATAAGTTCGTTGAAGCGTGGGTTAATAGAAATCCCGATGGGCGTTATAACTAAAAAGTTCTTCATGCGTGTAGAGATCTGTTTGCAGCTGGAAAGTCCAACAGGAAGTGCACCAAGTGAGATTTTTTTCTTTTCCAGTTCGGAAAACATGCAATCCTGGGCATTGTTACTCGTAGGATATTATGCGAGCGAAACTATAAGAACTAAGCGAAAGCAAATATGATGTCATAGGGCTGCAT